ATTTGGTTGATATGACTAGGAAAACTTGTTCTTGCAAGTATTTTGATATAGATAGATACCCATGTGTGCATGCAATTGCTGCTGCCATCCATATGAGCAGAGATAGGGAACTTCATCTACAAGAGTTTTGCTCCAAATATTATTTGGTAGAGCTATGGGCATTGGCATACTCCAGGACAATCTATCCAGTTCCTCATATGTCTGAATGGGTTGTACCTGAAGAGATACAAGCACAAGAAGTCTTACCTCCGGAATATGAAGTAAAGAAAGGAAAACCGCAACAGAAAAGATTCCCATCAGCTGGAGAACATCGTGGAAGAGGAAGAGGAAGAAGAGGTAGAGGGAGAAGTGGACGCTGGGCTCAATGGTTTGGGATTGATGGAAGTGAAGAGTAATTTATGTCTTTGTTTTAAATTATTTGAACTATGTGTGCAACTTTGTATGACCGAGACTTGTATCCATGTTATTTCTATCAGGTATGACTAGGCACCACTAGTACAACTCTATATTCCGCGTCTAATATGTCTGGTACGACTGGTGCGACTAGTACCACTCGTTTCAAGTACAACTAGTTCAACTACATTTTAGTTGTACTAAAGTCCAACTGGGAAGACTGGTACGACTATGCTTTCTACAAAAATGTCAATAACACAAGTTGTAAATGTATTTGTAAACATTTTTCCTTATAAAATAGGCCATAGAACATTTGCAAACATATTTGAACATTTTATAGTTAAATAAATTTGATCCACGAAAATGTTTGATCCATGAAAATGTGTTCTCTACACAATCTACCTTATACTTTTAAGGTTACTTTGTAAATCTTAACCACACAAACATGAAAACCATGAAAGTTTGTTATTTTATACTAGTTATAGCATAAGAATATTAGTTTATTTACAAAATTTTACAAGTACAGCTAAAAATGTTTAATTTAGGTATGATACTACTGATTACAAAATTTTATAACTTTATGTCTTTAGGGTACAACTCAAAACTGGGTACAACTATGTTATAAAAAAACTGGGTTCAATTTTTTTTTTTTGACAGCGCAAACTTGCAAAGATATTCATTTCCTCTTTTGACGGTGCACGTGACTTCATATTTTATCCATTTTTAACTTCATTTTAAACATGTTTTTTTTGCATGCACACGTTTTTTTTGCTGCCACACGTTTTTAAAATTCAGATCTAGTTGGTCTAGTTCTGCTAGTCGTACCTTTTAATTCAACACATAAAAAAAAACTTGCATAAAATATATATGTCCAAATCCTGAAAAACACAAAGATAAATTCTAACATAGCAGATAATGACACAACAGAAGTTCAAAGGCCTAAGTTACTTAATAACAATCCTTCAACAACCGTGAACGAGTAACCTTCTTTTTTCGCTTGGGAGTCTTACTCTTCTTAATTAATTTCTTTGCTGCTTGGGCTTGAAGACTAGGTCGTTTCTTGATCTTCACCTTCCTAGGAGTTTGGACTGTATCGGCATCGTCTCCACCTAACAAAAACAAACAAAAATCGATGAAACTCATTATATCAACAAAAATCGATGAAACTCATTATATCGGCACTTACCAGCTAGAGCCTTTTCCATAGCCTTATCCACAGCCGCTAACACTATCTCCGCAGCTGCACTAGCCTCAGCCGCCACAGTCTCCACGGTCTTCGCAGCCTCCATCATCTCCGAAGCTGCCGCAGCCTCAACCTCAGCCTTCTCCGCAGCCTCAACCTTCTCCCTCTCTACAGCCGCCGCAGCCTCCGCCTCAGCCTTCTCCGCAGCCTCCTTCTCCGCCTTCTCCTTCTCTTCAGCTGTGGCTCTCTCCGCCTTCTCCCTCTCTACAGCCGCAGCAGCCTCCTTCTCCGCAGCCTCCTTCTCTGCAGCCTCCTTCTCTGCAGCCTCCTTCTCCGCCTTCTCTTTCTCCTTCTCTTCAGCCGCGGCTCTCTCCGCCATCTCCCTCTCTACAGCCGCAGCAGCCTCCGTCATCTCCTCTTCAGCCGTTTTCCCTGTGACATAAAAAAAAAGAGTCAAATAAACTTCAATATTCAAAACAAAAAAATTCTCAAAATTTGTTCTTACCGAAATCATCATTTCCACCATACTGAAAATCTGGAGGATTTCTTTGCTCTTCCACGAAGCTCTCCACATCTACCAACCTTGTATCCAAACCTTGAATCTTGTCATTAATTTCCTTGAACCCTTCTTCCATTAATTTCATCATCCTTTTCAATTGCTCGGATATTGGCTCAATCACAACTGCAGGTTCTTCTTCAGCTGGCTCACCTATTGCCGCACCTTCGTTTTGGACATCTTCTTCTTGGACATTTTCTTTTTCGACAACTCGGGATGCAACATCGGCCATGAAGACATCCTCCCACTGTATCTTCCCTTGTTGGCGGACTATAAACTTGTTCCACCCATCAACAATAGGGTCAGCTACATCTGAATCATCCTTCAGTTCAAAGTCCTGCCACTGTGTCTCTTCCGTGGCCCTCTCTATGAGATCTACTTCCTCACCCTCAGCAGTCAAAATACTAGTAATGTCCTGAAGTATAACGGAAAAAAAAATTAAACCGATTAGTACGACTAGTACGAATATTAGACCAACTACCGTCAAACTACTGTCAAACTAGTACGACTAGTACGAATATTAGACCAACTACCGTCAAACTACTGTCAAACTAGTACGACTAGTACGAATATTAGACCAACTACTGTCAAACTACTGTCAAACTAGTACGACTAGTACGAATATTAGACCAACTACTGTCAAACTAGTACGACTCCAATAACAAAAAGTAAAATACCTTTGTATCTCCAAGATGCTCATTTATGGAACCCAGCGAATATCCAGTTGTGCCAGTCTGCGTGAACTCCCATTTGCACATTCTTGGACAATCATCATCTGCATTTGTTGCTTTCACCCGAAATTGTGTCTTCAGGGTTGGAATACATTCAAACGCCAAAATCTGCACATATAATTAGACCAGTTAGAGTAGTTGTACTATTAATACGAAAAATCTGCATATTTAATTAAAACAGTCGGACGAGTTGTACTATTCAGACTAATTAAAACAGTAGGAAATACGACTTACTTCCAAAGGGTTGAGGAACCCAGGAAACGTCCAACTCGCTTTCTCTGGGATCGATCCTTTGAAATGGTTCGTCATATGAAAAATCTCCTTGATGTTGTCCTCGAAAGTAAACCGTCCCCACGGGAATGTCTCACACAGCTCGAGATTATCAACCATCCTCAGAATAAAAGGCTCTATGGCTACTCCATGCTTTGATCTCCCTCTTATCACTGTCGCCAAGAAGTACAGGACAGCCATCCTTAGCCGATTCCTAGTGTCATTATACCTCATCCCTTGAAGTGCTTTTAGCACAACTTCAGCAGTAATTTTTTCGTCTTTAAAATGGTTCCTAGCAAACCTCTCGCCACCTAACTTCGGGTAATTCGCTGGATACTCGTGGCAGTACAGTCCCGAGAGGAGAGCATGCTCTCTGATGGAGTATCTAATGGGCACTCCATTTACCACAAACCAAGCCTGTCTACCCTTCTCCGTTTGTACCGTGCGTAGAAGCAACATCCACAGCCCCATCACCTTTCTTGTTGCATAAGTCTTCATGTGAAACAGGTGCTTGAACTGCGGGTGGTTCAGAAACCAACTCTTCTCATCCTCTTCCAAAGTTGGAAATACTTCCTCCTTAAATTTGTGTTGCAAGCATTTGGTACTTAGCTTACATCCCTTTTGGTATTCGATGGGATTGAAGAAATATCCGAGAGGCCGCATTGGTTCTTCCACATCATCATCGTCATGCTGCAAAAATAAGAAAACCGATTTAGTACGACTAGTACGATTACCAGGCCAACTACTGTCAAACTAGTATGACTAGTACGATTACCAGGCCAACTACTGTCAAACTAGTACGACTAGTACGATTACCAGGCCAACTACTGTCAAACTAGTACGACTAGTACGATTACTAGGCCAACTACTGTTAAACTAGTACGACTAGTACAATTACTAGGCTAACTACTGTCAAACTAGTACGACTAGTACGATTAGTATGACTACAATCTAGTACGACTAGTTGACCTACTCCTACTACTCAGACTCGACATTTCATTCAATCCAATTATACTAGTTGAACTAGTTGAACTACTCATACTAGTCGGACTAGTTAGACCCAATTATACAACAAATTAGGGTTTACCGATGGTGGTGGTGGTTGCGACGATGAACCGATTGCCGGTTCTGAAATCGAAGGCGGGCCGGTTGCCGGTTGCACCGCCGGAGGCAGACTTTCTTCTGCTGGTTCAGTCGCCGGAGCCGCCGGAGGCGGAGCATTGGACTTTGACTTCCGCGACTTCTTCTCTTTTCCTCGCGGTGCCTCCGGACGCTTCTCTCTCTTTCTTTTCTTTTTCGCCGGCGGATTTGAACTCGACGGCAGGGGATTTTCTTCTTCTCCTTCGGTCACCGGACCCGGCGGAGGCGGAGCACTAGAAGTTTCTTCTGTTGATTTCGATTTCTTCTTCGGCTTCTTCTCTTTTCCTCGCGGTGCCGCAGCAGGCTTCTCCGCCTCTGTTTGCTTCTCCGCCGGAGGATTTGAACTTGACGGTGGCGGCGGCGATGATGTATGATCCGGCGAAGGCAGAGTTCTTCTCCGAAGCCATTTCGTACGCGCCATGAGATTGATAAGTGGAAATTGGTGGAAATTAATGGTTTATCGGAGAATATGAAAATGGGAGTTGGCAGTTTCTGAATCGGAGAAGATGAAGTTGGAAAGGAGGCAGTTTGATCGAAAAATCAGGGAAGGGGAAGTTGTTTTTGGTTTGGGTTTGGGCTAGATTTAGATTTAGGTTTGGGCCGATTTCGATTTATGTTGGGCCAAAACCCAATAAATATTGTTTGGTTATTGTCCGTAATTTAAAGGATTTCGGATACTCTCTATCGTCATTTCACGTATTTTGGTATTAAATAAAAAAAAAAAAAAAAAAATCTTATAACGGAGGCATATCCGATTTATTTGGTGTACGGAGGGGCATTTCGGATTAATGTCCTTGTGGGAACCAACTTCACTAAACAACTTCCGATCTACGAGTTTTTTCTAATAATTTCATCTCTTCTCCAAACGTTCTCTGTCAATCGTCGAGCGCCGCCGATTTCGCCGTTGACTTATACCAGTGACGCCGCCGCCCATTTCCGCTCGCCGTTAACTGTAATTGCTTCAATTTGAGTTTTAGTGTTCGGTTTTGAGTTCTATCTGACTGTTTTTTTTTGGATAAATTCTATCTGACTGTTGCTACATGTTGATTGTATTATAGTCACCGATTGTTTGATTGAAATGCTAATGTCAGATACATTTACGAGCATTGCTTACTTCTTTTTCCTTTTGGTTTGAATAGCTTCGGCGGAGAAGACAATGGTGACGACGGAAGTTACAGAGACGGAGCGATGGTGCGTTGTTACCGGCGGTAGAGGATTCGCTGCAAGGCATCTTGTGGAGATGCTCGTACGCTACGAGATGTTCCACGTTCGCATCGCCGATTTAGTTCCGGCGATACAGCTCGAGCCTCACGAGGAGACGGGAATCCTCGGCGAAGCAATGAGATCCGGTCGAGTTCTCTACGTCTCCGCTGATCTCCGGAATAAATCTCAAGTTGTCAAAGGTAATTTGGGCTTCCGCATTCTCGATTTTAGCTCGCATTTTTCAGATTGATTCGTCGAATTGTGCATCTTCTTCGATTCTGTGTTTTTGGTATCTGATGATTAAAAAGTGAAACAGCTTTTCAAGGAGCAGAAGTGGTCTTTCACATGGCAGCTCCAGATTCATCAATCAACAGTTATCAGCTCCAGTACTCAGTTAATGTTCAAGGTTTGAAGAAGCTATAATCTGGAAAATTTCTCTTTGTTAAAAGTTTGGTTTATTGGATTCTCCAATTTCTTTATGGATCTTTTATCTGTAGGGACAACAAATGTAATTGATGCTTGTGTTGAGGTTGGAGTAAAGAGGCTCATCTACACAAGCTCTCCGAGTGTGGTGTTCGACGGAGTCCACGGTATCTTAAACGCAGATGAAACAATGCCGTATCCATCAAAGGTATTCTCTTGTTGTTCAGAACTTGAAATTTACAGAATCATGTGAAATCTCTTGGATGCTTCATGCTCGTGTCTAGCTGTGTTTGAGCTCTCGTTACTGAAAAATCTTCAATATTTCAGCACAATGACTCGTATTCGGCAACTAAAGCTGAAGGGGAAGCTTTGATCATGAAGGCGAATGGAAGAAATGGGCTACTCACTTGTTGCATACGTCCTAGCAGCATATTTGGTCCTGGTGATAGGTTACTGGTTCCATCGCTTGTCGCGGCTGCTAGGGCTGGGAAATCGAAGGTTGGATCTGTTCTCTTTGTTTATCTCGTTGGCCTTTTAGATTCTATCTGTTTTCCTTGTGGCTTTATTATGCTCTTGTCTCTCCTTTTTAGTCATGGTTTCATCATTCTTGCTAGTTCCATCACAGTGTGTGTAATCCATGGCCATACTACATATAAAAAAATTTGGCATTTTTCAGATGTGCAATCTATCTAACGAAATGGTGTTACAGAGGCATTGTCTGCATGGTCTTTTGTTTTGCCTAGGACAATCAAAAATTCACTTTTCATTTTACGATTCTTATCGGATTCTTTGTTGTTCAGTTTATTATAGGTGATGGGAGTAACCTCTATGATTTCACTTATGTTGAAAACGTTGTGCATGCCCATGTCTGTGCTGAGCGAGCTCTAGCATCGGGAGGAGAAGTTTGTGCAAAAGCTGCAGGCCAGGTATTTGGTTTCAGTTGATTCCATTTTGTGGCTGCCTAATATCATAGTGACTCTATGAACCCTGCTGTTCTTATGTTAATGTATAAAATACCACTCTAAGTGTTAGTCTGATCTATTATAACAATCTATTAGTCTATAATGAATGAAACCATTGGGTGAACTGAATGAACAAGAAAGACGCAACCCTATGTCTGCTTCTTCGGGATATTAAGGAAGTCAGAAAGTTGTATGACATACCCATAAAACATTAATATGAGTTTGGCTCCTTGGACATTTAAGTTGTCCTTGTGCTTTTCTTATACTTCGCTTTCTTTTAGGTTGGGTTATAAGGTGATATCACTTGGAATAGACTTCGTTTTCTCTTAGGTTGCGTTGTAAGGTGACATACTACATGGCATTTGTGAAATTATGCCAATTTTTGAAAGAAAACTGCCCACATTTTTCTGATAGAAATTAATGTCCTCATACTCTAGGTAGGGAATATATATGATGTATGGAAATCCTAGCTGTAGCATAATCTGACATGAAATGGCTGTGCAGGCATACTTTATTACCAACATGGAGCCAATTAAATTTTGGGAGTTTATGTCACAGCTTCTTGAAGGACTTGGCTACGAGAGGTATATATCTTTAACACAGACTGCAAGAGCGTTTTTTTTCCTCTCTTTTGGGGTTCTTCATGTCTCGTGTGATAGTCATCAGTAGTTAGATATTTTGTTTGCTTTCTTAAGTTTTTCCTACACAAAGCAAGTAAAGAAAAAAGTTTACTCATGATGAAGTAATAGAATTTAGTTGGTATCTTTTACTGCAACAAAATCTTGCCTTTGTTAATTTACTAGTTGAATCTTAGTGTTCTCTGGAAAAACATTGTGGTTGATGAAATTATCATAAAGAAAAACTCTTATCAAAGAGAATAACAAGAAAGCACATTTAGAAATTGCGTGTCTAAATTTTCTGATCTTGATAATATGACTTTCACCAATATTTTTCAGGCCGAGCATAAAGATACCCGCAACTATCATGATGCCAATAGCACATCTTGTGGAACTTACATATAAATTATTGGGACCATATGGGATGAAAGTACCTCAGCTAACACCTTCTAGAGTTAGGCTGCTCTCTTGCAGCAGAACTTTTAATTCATCAAAAGCAAAGAATCTTTTAGGTTATGCTCCCGTTGTGCCACTTCAGGTTTATACAATATTTTCTTTCATTTGAGACATAAATCGATATATTACTCTCTGCTTTAGTATTTGCTTAACCCCTTTCACTTTCATTGTCTTTGTAGGAAGGTATAAAGAGGACAATAGACTCGTTCTCACACTTGAGGGCTCAAAACCAACCCAAAAAAGAAGGTATCTTTGACTACCATCTCTGGATTTTTTTTTTTGCTTTGAGATCAAATCATACCATTGTGATTCTTCTATGCTTATGATAATGAGAAAATCAAGATGTATATTGAGAAAGTCTTAATTGGTATTATTTGCAGTTACTGATACGCGTCTATGGAAAAAGCAGACTCTGATTGCAATAGTCATTCTGATTACTCTCTATCTTAACTTTGTTGCAACGACCGAATATTCTGTCGGTATAACTGCGATTTTGGTAGTGTCAGTTATTTTGTTCTTCCGTGGTATTCTATCAGAGAAAATGAAATTGTTCGGAGGCAAGAAGAGTGACTAAGGAAGACTCTACATCTCAAAACAAACCCTCACTCTCAGACTATGATGCATATTTTGGGCTTTTTTTAATCTTTTAATCAGGTAAAGGCTTTTAAACCTGATTCCTTTGTGTACATGGATGTTGTTGATTGGTTTTAGTTTCCTTTTGTTACTTCAACTCTGTACCATTCAATTTCGGCTGCTGTAATAACAAATTTTTCGTTTGACATAGGATAAAATATAATCTAAAACTTATTACTATTTAATACAGTTACGATTTACATTGTAAGTATTACTAATGTAATTTCTCTGTTTCATTATAAAATGTTGATTTTTTTTTTTCATTAAATTTTCAGTTTTACTTCTTGTTAGTATCCTTTATAATGTGATTTTACTAATTAATAAGTTAAAAAATAGTGATAAAATAAAACTAAAAACATTATCAAAATACTCGCATTGAAAATCAAATTTTAACATGTAAAATGACACTAGTCAAAATGTAGTAATACTCTTTTTGTTTCATAAAAAGTGAATTAAGAAAAACAATTTAAAATTCTTTTATGCCCCTTATTTATATACTAAATAAATTTTTCTCTCTAATTAACACATTTTAATACAAAGGTTAAAACTCAATAATTATTTAAAATTATACATTAAATATATAAAATGACACTATTTGTAAAACAAAAATAAAAATTTCAGAATAACATGTTGTATAAAACAGAGTATTATAGTTTACATGTGTATGATAAAAGTAATTTAATAATGGGTAATTAATTTTTAGAAACGTACACATGAAAACAAAACACGTAAATTTGTTTTTGTTTATTTAGAAAGCTAATCTATTTGTTACTTGAAAAAATGTCGTGTCACGCGTTATTAAAAATTATATATTATTTTTCCTTCTTGATATTAATAAGATTTTTAAAAATCATATATTATAATAAGTGACTCTATACCAAAAATAAACTGGACTTGTTCACATGTTCGTCCTCTCAATGTTGCATCTTGAATTGGATTAAACTTGGTATTCACATCATATAATATATAAAAGTTGATGGCATAGTATTAAAGGCGTCCATATGAGATTAAAAAATTCGATCTGATTGGTCCACATCAGCATATTCATTAAATAAAAAAATGTTAAATATGATTAGAACGGAAGAACTTGATTTAATTGGTCCACATCAGCTTTTTTATCAAACCAAAAATTATAAAGTATAATTGAAATTTTAAAAGTTAATTTAACAAATTATGTCCAACAAAAAAAGGTAAATTCAATATGATTGATCTAAATCAACATATTTATTAAATCATAAAATGTTAATATGGTTTAGAAATTTAAAAGTTAAATAAAAAAATGAACAGTTAACAATACATGTATAAAAAAAAGTAACCATTATCAATTATCAATTTTAAAAAATCTACAACAACTCGATTTAAAAATTAAAACAATGAACTGAATAAAAATATAACATAAAACTTTTGGAAGACATGATGGAGAAGGAAAAAATAGTTTTCCATGATCATTACAGCTTTTGAACAAAATTAAATGCGAATCAACATGAATAATGGATTATATATGCAGTGGTACACAACATCAATAAGACTCTCAATAAAAAACTAAATATTTGAAGACATAAACCTTCAAAAAAAAGAACTATATAAATTCTATATAAACAGAAAATAGTACCAAAATCTTAGCAAGATTATATTTCTCTAAATCAAATGTATATGTACGTCAAAGTTGAATAATTCGATAGGTGTCACTGTTATTATTTTACCTAATAGTTTTTTAAAATTTATAAATAAAAATAGGATAAATTACACATTATATGTTAAATTCTCTTATATAAATGAAATTTTCTATAAATATATTGTATTTTTAATAATTTTTAAAATAGTAACTAAAAACAATTAAACTAAAATATTAATACAGACTCGCGCGTAGCACGAATTATGTAACTAATATTCAAAAAAATAAAGTATATTAAGTTTTGGATCCGCATTATGCGTCATGCGCAAGTTTTCTCTTTTAAATACATTTACTAATATTCTGGACAAGCTGAATATACTATTTTACTTTAAAGCCCAATCCAAAATTTTAACTTTTCTAGCATATTCGAAACTGGATTTTGTTATCGACTCTAAATTTTTCGATTGAACTTTCAATCTTTATCATTGATTTTTTTTGCCTAAAAAATTGGTGTTTCTTTACGATCTCGATTCAAGAAGCTTTTGTAGAACCTGATGTTTAACTATTGATCATTTGAGAAAAAAAAATCGCGAAAGGCTGTTTAGAGATCATTTATATACGATTCTAAGTGGAGAACCAAAAGTTTAATGTATGTGATTCCAAAATATTGTATGAAGAGTACTTCTTTTTAATCAGGTTATGGCAGATCCGTCTGAAATAGATAACATTAACGATATCGATTTGTTCATGGCATGGATCATGTGAAAATCCATTGTGTAATGTTTTCGTTTTCAGCAAATACTTTTATAAATTCTCTCAAGGAAGAACTGAAACAATATGTTTAGAAGAAAAAAAAACTAAAGTAAATTTATATTTATAAATTCTGTGTTTTTGAAATTAACTGATTCACTAGCTTAAGTTTGATGTTTACAATATTTTGTTTTTTTATTTATTTATATGTTTACAATATTTTGTTTCAGGCACTTTCTTATATCCTTATTTGGCCTCTCCATAAGAACACACACAAAATTATCCGAGTGGGTGCATAAATCTAATAATTGGACCTTGTCTGAGTTGTTGATAGAGGGAGTTAAGATTCCTATACAAAAATATCCTATTTAGTAAAATTGTGAGGAAACATGCATGCGCCACCGTATCTCACAATTTTATGCATTTTGTTTCTAAACAACTGTTTCTGTTTGAATTCATAAATGGGGATCAACACAGACTTTTTATTGATCCAATTTGAATATGTACAATAGGAATATGTCTTATTCTAGTTTTTAGTGAATGTAAAATCTCTTATGTAAAAGGTTACTATCCAAAATATTTTATTAATGAAATAAAAGAAGAGAAGATAAATTTGAAATGAACAAAATTCAAAATTAGGAAAATGCCATATTTAGCTTATGTTATCTATAAAAAAATAGGTAAAATATAATCTTAGTAAATAGAAATGTGAGATAACGGTAGAGTTACTCAGTTTTAGTATTATTAAAGAATATGTGAGTTACCTGTGACTATTTGATAAAGGTACAACAAAGTAGTATATATAATACCAAATAGCTTTATTTTGGGCAAACACCCCCCAGCTATTGACTATTCATCACATAAAGAGAGTCGCTGAAAGATGTCCTACATATGGAGGTAACTAGAAGTTTCAACGTGGTTTTGCAGTTGCACTCGTAGTAAACACATAGTTTATACAATATTTTGTTAAAATTTGTTTAAAACTTTTTTTATTGACTCATTTGAAAATTAAAGATTTAAAAAATTTTATGCAAAAATTTAAGTTATTAATTTTATTCGATTCTTTAATTACTTAAGAATTGGTTTTAAGAAAAAGAATTGGACACAGGTCTGGAATGTACCCTGAATTATCAAAAAGAAAAAAAAATGAAAAAAAGGGAATAGACAATAGATTTGCTTCAAGGGCTTTTTGCATATATAACCGTATTGAAAGTTGAAATAAAGAATATAATCATAGTATAAAGATAATTTATAAACTAACCATGACCCACCATCAATTGTTGAAAATATCTATGTACTATATTATAATAGCTACTATACTATGTATCATTTTTATAGAATAGTTTCGTTTGATATAGTATTTGCAAAATTAATTGGAAAAAAACGGAAAAAGAGAGGAGGGAAGGGGAGGAAAAAGGGAGGGGAGGAAAAAGAGAGGAGAGGAGAGGAGGAGACGTAGGGGAGAGGACGAAAAAAAGAGGAATGAAGAAGAGAAGAGGGAGCAAAGGAAGACATGAAATTAATGAAGGAGTTTTAAAAAAGGGCAATTTTGCATATATTGTAGAAAATATAAAGAATATCATAACTATGTTTTTGTTATAGTTATTTGATGAATTTAAACTGTTGTTATGGTTACTATACCCAATTTTCCTTGCTTCAACCCCTCATTAAATCGTTTATTTTTTTGTTAATTAATGGTTTGGTATTTTACATGCTAAGATTATAGCAGGTTTGATTATTATCACGTATGGATATTTTTAGTTAACAGGAGGGAGAAAAAAAATGAATATTGACTGTATAAGAACCTGAATAATTATTTTGGTTAACTAGTGGTTTGATATTTGACGGTTCATAAAACTAGGGACGATCAAAGCAAGTTCAACATATGATCGAATAGCATTGATTATGCTTATAAATTCTATCTTAGTTTCGTGTATCATACCGAAAAAACTACACTTATAATTGTTATAGTTTCGTGTATTCAAACTTTTTAATAAAACTAAGGCGAGGGAAACTCTCTGGGCACGAGTTTCGAGGTAGTTTCCAACCATTTGGTTTTGTCCCCTGTTTTGCTTCAACTACCCTGTTTTTACCCGAAATAGAAAAGTTTTTGAATCAAAACAACTCCTGGTTTTGGCAAAACCGTGGTTCCACCCCCGGCCACCGTCGGATTGTCCACCGAACAGCATGGTAAGCTCTCCTTTACTCAGCTTTTCTCCTGTAGGAACCCAAGAAAAGCATAGTTGCAACAGTCTTTAGCTCCACGTTACATAACACTCTTGCATCATAAAGCATTGAAACCTTCCCACATTGGTGGTGTAACCTGAAACAAAGATTTGCAAGGGAAGGTCAGATCCGGCAAGTGACCCCAACTCCACACTCAAGAACAGCAGTATGGCCCGAAGACTTTCATATGCTGAGAAAGGGAAAGGAATCGAAGCTCCAAGGTCCCCCCCCAAGACTTGGCCGAGTGAGAGTCCCAGACTTCGACAACTCGGAGCTGATACGTAAACACTCCCTGACCGTGATTGGAAGAGTCACAAACCCCAAAATCCAGCGAATATGGTCCCTACTCACCTTCTTTGCTGAGCACTAGAAAACAAAACACAGACCTATAGGAGCAGATTTGGGACAAGGCAAGTTCCAGTTCCAGTTCGGATGCTTAGAGGATCTGGAAATGGTACTGGAGAACAGACCATACCACTTTGCCTGCTGGATGATAATTCTTCAGTATTGGGAGCCAACAGTCTCCCCCAACTCCCCTCTCAAATCCCTTTCTGGATTCGTGTTCAAAGAATACCAGTGCATCTGTGGAGTGAAGCCCTGCTAAGAAGCATATGAGAGGATTTGGGAAATTTTGAGAGTTGGAAAATATCTG